CAATGTTAAGATAGGATATGAGTACAACAAATAATAGCCTACCTCCATACCCTACTACCTCTAATTACATATCAACGGATTCTCTCTCTCTCTCTCTCTCTCTCTCTCTCTCTCATGTAGATCAATCGACGGAGAAAAGGAGAGACTCTTCCTCCCTCGTAATTTATAGACAAATGAATCCCCCAAGCATGCCTCGCCTGGAAGTCCAACACACAGCTACCCATAAGGGTATAATATACAGCTCACTCCCTTGGTAAAGCCCTGTTTAGGAAGCCTTTTCCGACTCCAAAATTCAGGGAGCCAAGTTCGACATACGCCTTATAGAAAATGGACTCCTAATACTGTGCCACAGGTTAGATCCAAGTACTTTGGGAGAGAACAAATTCTTGTCTTGTAGATCCTCACCTGGTGCTTCTTATGTGGACCGATAATTTCAGAACAAGAAAACCTTCCCACGGGGGTTTGCATGCTCACAAGGGAGTTCGCTGTACGACATTTTCAATTAGATCATAGGAAAAACCAGCACTCACTCCTTTGTTTACCATCGTTGCTCATTAAAAACAGATGATCTTGGCCATATGCGACCAATCAAGCTTTCAACAGTGTTGTCAAAATGAGATCATCCCCCAAACAGAAGTTCAAAAAATCCAGACTGATTAACAATTGAAATGAGAGGACCTGATTTTAAGAAAGTAAAGAAAATATAGGATAGTAAAATAAAAAAATATGAAACACATTACCAACAAACAACTTAACCTCCCATCAGTCAAAACCCGCCAGTCTAACTAGATTTTGACCAGCTTCTTTGCTTTACAGCAAACCAGCCACTAGCCAGCCTGGCCCTGTCTTTATGACACTGTTCCGACACTATTCCGCCACAAGTTGAAAACATTTTCGATGGAGCCAAAAACAAAACCACAAACCAGTATACAGTTTGACTTTTCACACATTATCAAGATAAAACACAGATTTTTGCAAAAATAAACGATATTCGGAAACAAATCCATATAACAATTTCCCGAACGCATTCACTGACCAAGCCCTTTTCTACAAGGATTATAGATTCTTTAAATCTTGACAAAACCTGAGAAAGACGGGAATGTTCATGAAAAATACTCATATTTATTGGATATTATACCGGATCTTCATAAGCTAAGAATAACAAAATTCATATAAAAAATGGAACCTTTTAAAAGCACAAGTACCAATGTAATCGTCAAATATGCAGGAATAAGCTAGATGGCATGGATGAAACCTATCAATGTATGACTCAAATGCACACAAACTTATGTCAGAACACCCAAAAGAAAAGAAAAAACGCAAACGAGTTTTAATTAAACAAAATGAAAGGGGGGAGGGGCAAACAAAAAGCAAAAAAGAGAAAACACAGCAATCTCATTCCTCATCTTAAATGTGAGTAACCTACTGGCATAAAACATTCAGCCAACGATTCTGAAGTCTGTGATTTATGAGTGTTCGCGAGCATTTTTAGAAGAGCACATACCAGATATTGAAGAAACAAATCAGGGTAATCTGGTGATCTCTGGTCTCACATCTTTCAAAGAGGACAAACCAAACAGAAGATTACCCCTTTTGTGTAGTCAAAATCAAATACCAATAAACACCCCCCACCCCCACCCCTCCTGCTCCTCTCTTCTTTCTTCAGTTTCCACAAAACCCAAAACCAAAACATTGACAAACCCTAATGCCTGTAGATCAGAAACAAACAATGTTCTCTTTCGGCTCTTGCTTGCCCAACTCAACAGAAATCCACCAACTAGGAACAATGTACATGAAACAGGAGCCCGTTTCCTGCAATCAAACGCAAGTCACCCCACATGGCCCCGCACTTCCTTTTAACTCTCTAGTTGGCTTCTAATTGAAGAACTGGCATATTTTTACATACCCCAGTTCCTTTAGCTTTTCTTTCCCTCACATTATAAAACTGGAAAGATAACCACAAGCCACTCTAGCCATGCTACTACAATCATCTCTCTCTGTTGTTTTCTCTCAGTTGTCACCAGAAACTGATATGCATCAATATCAGTACATGCCCCATAAACCATTTACCTAAATATTGTAATTTGAAAATTAAACACCCCTTGGTTTTAATTTTCCAATAACAAATTAAAATACCTGTAAGTTTCAAAATATGCCCCTAAACGAGTTTGAGGAGGTGCCACTGTAGACAAAGAGAAGTCATGTTGTAGAGCACGAAGGATCATACAATGAAGCAGAGGACCAAAATCCCAAGCATATTTGAAGAAGCCGATGTAAACGAGAAGAAACCACAGGGCGAGAGAGTATCCAGGAGATCAATCACAGTAAGCACAAAACCCAATGGAGAAGACGAAGCATGAGGGGTTCTGGAGCGTGCCGTTTAAGCAGAACAACGCCCTTCTCAAAACAAAAAAAAGGGGGAAAAAAGATACAGTGCTTTAGTAAAATTCTATCAGTCTGCTCTGTTTTGTCTCTCTAGTCCCACTCACATCTCAGACATACCATTCATAGAAGAGGCAAAGAAAAGTTCAAAGTTCAAAGTTATAAAGAAAGGTTCAAGTTCAAAGTTATAAAGTAGGAAAGGAACCTATCCAAATGCACGACAGCAGGCAAGATGGTGCAGCAGTTCACTCTTTCAAACTGGTATCATGCAAACTCACCCAGTCTTCATTCCCCTGCATACCTTGACATCTGATCCTCGTACTCTCACTTCAACTTCTGCTTCGGTCTCTAGCAACGGGACTACTGTGAAATTCAATGACACAGCAAGTGTCAGTACCCTACTATATAGTAGCACTATATGTTAAATGAGAGCAACATTTCAAAAAAAAAAGCTAGCCGGCCGGCCGGCCTGGCCTAGGGCGCTCAAAAACTTAGGCACCCTGACGTGACAGATTTTCAGAAATATGAACATGTGCAGTCCAAATCAGTATACATGCAAGATCTTTGTGTCAATTTTATTATTTTTTTGCATTTAAATGTATTCTAACCAACTATTTTATGCAAATATATACGCATGAACGTTCTTTCTCAACAAAAAAAATGTATACACATGAATGTTGAAACATGTTCAAAACTTCAAATCATTGAAAATTTAGTGAAAAACATAACAGACAGTCCATAGTGCATTGGTCTCCATAGTCCATAATGGCATACAATCATACACAGGGACTGTAAGTCTCCAAGAAGACCATTGGAGGATGCAATATAAAAGACAAGGTGATATACAAAGGAAAGGAAAGAGGAGATAATTATTTGTCTTTCAACAAAAAGTCTCCTAATACCATCACTAGCACCCTACAATCAATTTCAATAAAACTGGATAAGTTTTTGGATGATTATTCAAACTTAACAATTTTTCTCGACTAGGAAAAATTTGCAAAAAAACATTTTTTGGATGTTTTTAGTGAGGATTGAATTTGTTTCACACAGGTTTAGAATACTCCCAAATAAACATTTTCCCCCTATTTTGATGGGTCAAAAAGACCCAAACTTCCCTTCACAAGCTATCTTTTTCCACAAAAACAGGGCTCAGTTCCTGGCACGTGCCTGACTGTGGCTGGCGCATACCCAGGGGTGCCCACCTAGCCCGCCTGGGCAGGCACCCAGGAACTGGCGCCCTTATTTATACGGCATATACAAGAGTGTCAGAGGACAATGTATAAATTATCAATATTAAGGGCACCAAAAATATGGGAAAAGATTTTCATGCATCTTCTAATGACACACCAGAAAAACAAGAGATCTAATAGAATGCGCAGACAGTCTCTCAAATCACTCGAAAGAAAGCAAACCAAGTTATAAGACATACCCATTAGCATAGGGCGAGTCGCGACGGCCACGATATGGAGCGGGTGACCTACTGTAGCTTCGGCCTCGTGCAGGAGAGTAGCTACGACGCTTTGGAGATCGCTTGCCACGAGGGCTGTAACTCCTGCTCAAAGAAAGTAAAATATGAGAGTGAGTGAGAGAGACTGTAAAAGAGGCACACTAATAAGTATGGCTTTTTCAATAGGATACAGCTAACAAATATTATTGTAGACACTGTTCATTTAAATGGCAAACTCCATGGTTTTTCACGACTCCTGAAAAGTAAACTACTAGTCAAAGCTGAATAAACCAAAAATAATATCTTCCAAAACACAAATTACATAAATAATCCACAAGGGCATCCATAGTTGAAATAAAGCTATTATAACTATGGATAACAGTTACCTAACAAAGAAATATGAATAACAAAGGCATGGTTTTACCTTCGACCATAGCTTGGGCTCCTACGATATCTTGGGGGAGTGGGGCTTCGACGTCTTCCACTGCCATATCCACCAGAACCAATGCGCAAACGACATTCACGAGCAAAATGGCCAGGCTCTCCACACTCATAACATTTCATATCACTGCCACTTCCACTACGACTGCGACCACCACCACCACCACGGCCTCCACCTCCACCCCTGGAGTTGTGAGAAAGTTCAACTCTCCATCCATTTTTACCTATGCATATTTCAAAGTAAAAGTTCAACTCTCCCATATTCTTAAGGATTTACACTTGAAAAGATAGCATCACTATCAACTAAATAATCTAGGCCTCGAGCAGAAATCAGGCCTTCATAGCAGGAAATATTAATACCCCAATTTCATATGCAACTACATCCTAGATCTCAGTATTAATATGGGAAAATAAACAATAGTTCCTGGCACAACTGTTGCAGATTCTTTGGAAACTCTGAATTTTGAAACAGAAAATCAATTGGTCGATTTTCTTCCAAATGACTGACTTAACCTGATTCACAATTCCATTTTAGAAATATAACCACACTGGTATAGTAATTTTTACACCAGAGTGAGTAATGATCTCAGATCATTTGCAATATTCCAAATTGGAGTACTTGCATGAATTAAATTGGTCCAGGATCAATTCAGGCAGCAATGTGAAAAAGTTCCCCTCATCTAGCATATGTTGAAAGGGGCATTCATGAAAGAAATAAGATCTATACATGACTACCATTTGTTTTGATTATAACCAACAATAATTACATCAGCACTTTCAAATTCGAATTAATATACAGGAAACAGCAAGTTCGATAAACAAGCAACATATTTCCCAAGTAGGTGCATGAATGCACTATTTGGCATTAGGAAATACGCAATATTTGGTAGTCCAATGCAAATTGGAACCTCCCACTTTAGATTAAATTAAATACAAAGTGCGAAGTTTAAATTCTACAATTCCACTTTCCTCATATTGTCTTCCATTTTTCTTTCTCAAGAATCATCAACTTATTTAAAGTCAACAAATTTCTACAATGAGATGCAAAATTATACTTTTCCACCCATGGATATGAGTACAAGACTAAGACAAAATCCCTAAATATTTAATTTTTCAAAGTCCCCTCTTAAGCAAAAGAATCATGTTAGAAACAGCACCAGCATCTTATAGATATCTGACTGAAAGTTACCACTTAATAAAGAGCTGCTAAAATCCCATATGAATATGCAATAATTTAGAAATGCCAAATATGACTAAATGCAGATGCTTATACAAGTTAGGCATTTGGTCTAATGAGAAGATTATTGCAAACGATATTATTATCCAAGAGACACTGATAATAAACTTTAAGTCAAGAGACATCTAGAAAGAAAGAATAAGCCATTCACATTTATTCGATAAGCATAATGTATCAGAATTTTTGGTCCAAGAAGATGCAAGCACACATCATACAGACAACTTATCATTCACTGCCCAAATTAAAAAGTAACGATGTTTTTAACCAATTTTAGCATCCCTAGGTAATGATCCATGAAACCGTATGAAGTCTAAAAGACAACTAGATAAGAACTTATAAAGAACTAAATAAGAACATGGAAGTAAGTATCCAAAACTTAGGAGGTTACTTTTGCATCATATCTTTCAAAATCAGAAATAATTATTTCACCAACCATCCAGTTCACGAATTGCATCAATAGCATCTCGGCGATCATCAAATTCAACAAAGGCATAGCCTGGTGGCTTCCGAGCAACCCACACACTGCAATACAGCATAACCAAATGACAAATTGAACGCTATTACAAATCCAAGGCATAACAGCAAGCAATCCCCATTGAATAAAGCAATTTAAACAAGTGGTTAATACAAGAACTGAGTCAGACTCAATAGGGTCCCAACCTCAAGTCATGAATGACACTCGAATGAGAAGGTCCTGAGACCTAAAAGAATAATAATGAAATATTGGGAACCAGCTAGAAGCGGCGGTGCCAGCCGAGTCTGAGTGACTCGGGCAAGTATGGTTTCAGAAGGGGAGGAGGGAGGGGGGGGGGGGGGGGCGAGTTGTTCTGTTTGTGTAATTCAGTGGTAAGAATCGAGCTTTAGATGTAGCATTGCATGACATCAACTGCTAACCACTCAAGCCCAAGCCCAATCCTTCGTTGTCAATATTTTAACCACAAAAGAAGGATAACCAGAGTCATAGGAAGAATATGATAACCATATCCAGCAAAAAATTTGACAAACTGATGTACCTTCGTAAAACTCCAAATGCTCGAAATTCATCTTCCAGTTCCCTTTCTGAAACTCGAGGATCCAGGTTTCCAACGTACACACGAGACATAGTGACAATATAATCTAAACCAAATTCAAAACAATTATCAAAATGTTAGAAATTTCATAAAGAACACTTGTATCAATTCAATAATAACCTGGTCAAACCAAATGAGGATTCCAAAATTAAAGACATAACGAAAAAATAAGAATTAATCACCAAGAACAAATGAGAAAATTACAACAAAATGCTAAAAGAAATGCAAACCACTGAAAGAAAGGACAAAAAAAGTACTAATGTACCAAGAGAAACCAAATCCATCTATGCATTTGTAGCTTCATCCAATGATTCAATTTATGCATCAAACATTCTCACATAAATTTCAACATGATATAGACATGTAATATTTTCTTCAAATACATTAATCTAATGCAAATATGGGGCCATGCAATTCATAAACCATTCACTTTCTATATGGTCTGGATGCACATTAAGATTATTAAATCCCAGGAGAATCCACGTCTAAATGCATCATAATCAAAATCAGTGTTTTTCAACTCAGCAGAGTAATTCAGCCTCGCCCTGTTGACAAAAAAATTACTAAAAAATATTAAAAAAAAAGTTAGAGATCGTCAATATATTAGTTAGCAGTACGTTTCTAAACGATTTTGATAGTTTAAAGATCATATGGGAACTTTTATATTCTTTCTTTTTAAAAAATTTCAGAAATATTCAAGGTACAAGTCTACGATGGTCAAAAATCAATTTTTTATAGATTTTTTTAATCTTCTTGAGTCTTCTGGTAATTTCTATACCCTTTTTTAGCTTTTTCTCATTTTTCATGATGTCTTTTAAGAAATATTTTTATCTCTTTTACTTTTTTACCTTTTTCCGGGGCGTACATAACTCGGCCGGGTATGAGTGGCCTAGTTACTCGCCTGGGCGAAGGGCAGAATAACTTGGCCGATGCAATCTTTCAAACACTGATCAAAATCAACCGATGCTAATTGAACTAATCACTCTAGCAGCATGAGGCCGTACAATCAAAGCTTTTATTCGCTATAGAGTAGGAAAGTCGCCATTTTTCCTCTCTTTCTTCAGATGCACGTCAGGAAATCTCTCTCTCTCTCTCTCTCNNCTCTCTCTCTCTCTCTCGTCTCGTCGTCGTCGTCGTACGTCGTACGTACGTACGTACGTACGCGTACGACGTCGAGTCAGCG